ATCAAATGGGAGAAGTACATATGGTTTAGGTAAAGAGGTTATTAAAAACTAGAACACATTCACCCCGAAGACGACAACTGCAGTGTTTTCCAAAACGTTGGTAATCCTAAGGATTCCAGGCGGCCCATCCCCGAAAGCCAAAGTTAACATTGAACTCCAGAAGCGAAATCCTACGGAAAATTACTGCGCTTGAATTTCCTGCAATCGGTAGATGCAATACAGGAAAAGAATGTCTGTAAGTTCGAGTAAATGTATCACGATTCGTAACATATTAATTCTTGTCCCTAATAATGGCGAAATATAAAACAATATCCAAAGAAAATACCCTTGCAACTCTAATGGGACTTCCAGTTGTTATGATCAGTAACTAACGGCCCTACCTTAGTGCTCCTGGAAGTACCTTAAAAGGCATGACTAGAAGATGGACATACAATCGTAAATATATTGCGCGTAGATTATATTGTGATTACAGTTTACCACATCTATCCTTCAAACCAGACTGTATACAGTTTCACTTGAATTTAATTTAGAATGTGCAGAATTGCACAATTAAAACGCTGCAGGTGTTATATTAATATTAAGTATGAGATGTTTTATACTACTGCAAAAACCTGTTAATTTTTAAGGGGTGATGAATTCTTTCTTATCTTAATTATCTGCCTCTTTCCTTCTTCCTTCTTCGTTCTCCCTTTTTTAACTCTCCTTCCCTCTTTTCTTGCAGCATCGTTAAATAAATTGCTAGGTTTTTGTGATAAAATTAATGGCACTGGTGGTCTTGGGATAAGGCACTGGATTCTCATTCAGAGATTTCTGAGTTCGATCTCCGGTCAGATTTATATACTCATAAACATGTATATTTCTCACTCTCAAATATTTAACGAAGATGAAACTTTGTGAGAGTGGGAAGTTTATAGTGAAGTGTACCACGCCCTCGCCGTAGGAGATCTCGTTAAACCGTAGGTCGCCTGTGAGGGAACATGGTTTCCATAATCACGCTTTCAGCATGTGTAACGAAATCTGTTATGTGGGTGTCGCACCTCAGAAATTGATTCTGTATCTGTCTATAGCTGGCAGAGACCAGGAAAGTTAATCAAGGCTCATACTTGGTGGTATTAGTTATCAACCACCTGTTAAAATGATGATTACGATAGTGAATTAGTTGTAATGAAATATTTTTGGTAAACTTAAGTAAATTCTAATGTTTTACTTCTGAGAAACAGACATTTCACTAACCCCATAAGCCAGTGGCCTTCTTGTTAAGCTGATAGTTACTAAGATGACCAAGAAATTTCATGCAGTTACTAATCTTTAGGTAACAATGTATCCTGGTATACAAGTTCTAATCAATATTCCTCTTTTCCCCCTCGCCCTGATCTTTTAGTAATCGGGTTTCTGATAGGTGTACCTTCTACAGTTCTTATAAGTGACAGGTCATCAGAGAATTATATTGTGAAGTGTTGAGACCCCACGTTACAATATACAAAACGTGGTAATGACAGACGTAGAAGTTGTTTATAAAATCAGATCATTACACAATCCTTTGTTAGAAATTCTGGCTGAATCATGTGTGTTTGTCAGGAAGCTATTTATTGTTTACGTAATTTTGCAACTTCAAGGTGTGGTTCTTGATACTTAATGAAAAATAAGGTATCATTTATAACAGTTTTAATCAGAGTTTGGCTGTAGATTGACGGTGACTGAAATTAACGTGACAAACAAGGATGGATGGTTACGAGAGTAAAATAAAATCTGCCTTCATCGGGACGCCGGCTCTGTAATATAAATTGAATATCAACTGACATGCATATACGGGGTTTAAAAACTCGCATTGTTATTCTGTACAGCATTTTGGGCAGGAAATACCGTAGTAAACTGACACGTTTAAACCTGAAGAAGACATTCGAGAATAACAATTTTAATATTTATTGCAGGGAACTAATTGATTTTAAAGGTGTAAAACGTGTTGAAATAGGCAAGGGTTCATTAATGTGCTGTTGTGCTAGAAGAAATAACTTTTTCTTACCCGCTAATTTACTTTGGTTGGGATCTTCACGTATGAATATGATTTTATAAATATGGAACTGAAATTGGAAACATTAACAGCTCGATCTTAGGCTTATGTGAAGTGGAAATCAATAAACCTACGCCAAAGTGTTCCTGTCAATGGAAGGGACAGTGAAGTAAAAACATCGTAAGACTTGAAGATTTCTGTCTTGTGGGTTGTTTCGCCGTGTAGTATGGTAGATGTTTACCATACTACACACTACAATACCGCTGTGAAAACCTCAACTCTTACATCATAGGACCTACTTATAAAATTGTAGGCCTAATGCGTTGCTGTTCCTGATGAACTCCGTATCATTAACTAACTTCATAAAGCACAGTCCTTCTGAAGGAGATGATAGTTTATCTGCTCAATAAATTTTCAACATTTTGTGGGTCCCAATGGTCTTTTCTGACGAAATTTATATTTGAATTTTACATCACGTAAGTACTTACATGTCTCTCCCATTTCCTCCTCCTGCAACTCCTCGAGTTGGTCACCGAATTGCAACATTTGGGAGGAACAAGGAATTATGAAGCTTCTAATTATATAATTTCCCCAGTCCTTCCATTACTTCCTGTCAGTTACAACTAACCTTATCAGCACTTTTTCTTAAGTTTTTTGTCTTAGGACTTGAGATCAAATTTCAGGTTCACATAAAACGACGGGTAAACTTATTGTTTTGTCTCAGTTCATTGTGTAATTTAGTTTAAATGAATTGACGTTTGCACTTCGTGTTGGAATCTTAATCAGGATATAATTGTGTAAGGAACGTTGTTGCTACCAATCGTGAAACTATGAACACGCGAATATACAACAGAAGCGGACAGAGGAGCGAAACTTCACCTCTACAAACCTCGCCAACACTTTATTTTCATTTAATAACGCTGTTTCAACTGCAGACGTTCAATAGCTTCGACTGTGATTGAACGATGATCACGAGAAAGACTCTAGGAGTACCAGAGGAGAACGGCAGGGAACACAGGCGAGTTTAGAACCAGGTACTTTCCGTATGCAATAATGAAGCGTTTGTTACCGCTACACAGACTTGTTCGATGTGACGCTCGTATCGCCTGCGCGCGGCTGCCGCGCGAGGCAATGTTCGTTGCTTTGCCTCACAAAGTCGATACCATGTTGCCGCGCGCGGCAGAACGAACAATGCCGCGCTCGAACTTGGCGCGTGTCGAGCCAAATCGGTGAGGTTCTTTGTCCCGCGGCAAAGGGATTTCAGTGTGCTGTGCTCTCTCAGCTCACGGCTGCCGCGCTCGATGCTGGTAACCACGAACACGGTTTAAACATAAACAAACGAACGAGTTTGCCGCGCGCAGTCGATACACGGCTTAAGGCGATGTCGGGCGACAATCTGTAGTCGTTGTCTCTGCGCTGTAAGGTGACCCCTTGTGTTATAGACGTGGTCGTGCCGCAGTACACCCTTCAGCCATGTCCATGTTCTTTGCGCAAAGTGCACGAAATAGTCAAACCATATTTTTTTCTCCGAAGCCGCTAGACAGATCATGATTAAATTAGGTTTTTGGGAGTACGTCAGGTAATTTAATGTGTCATATATATACCGGACCAATGGAACTTTGACTTAACACGAATTTGAAATCTAACTTTATCGACTTTCGTAAAAAAGTTCCATTGCACAGAACTTTAGTGCTGAAATAAATACTTATGTAACTGAGGTCTGCAGCTTCTGTTAAAACATTAGCGATTTGGTGAATTTTAATCAAATACAGAGATATGTGGTGCAGCGCGACACGTGATGTTTGCTAAATGTAGATAATATTCAGTATTTTTGAATGGTTTGGAAGTCAGCATTAAGTCAGTCTACCTAAGAAACCAAAACACAAATAGATCTTTTCTTTCGAAGCGATTATTCTCCCAGTTTTTCCAAACTTCACCATATTTCTGCACTATTTTTGGGTACAAAAGTCGTATTTTTTCCGATACAAGGGGATTGACACGTTGCAGTCAACGGGACATCAAAATGTCAGTATTGGTCTCGTTTAAGTTATATCTCATTCCAGATAAAATTACCACCCATTAATCTGAATAGAATGAAAGCATCTCAGAATGTTGGTAGTCGTAATTCACAGGAGAATTTTATAGAATATTATTCAACACGTAAAGATTAAGATTTTAATTAGGCTACACTGAAACAAAAATAAAATATTTTTTCAGAATTTCTGGAATTATATTCTGCGGCACTGAAGCAAATACAATTATTTTGGGAAGTCTAATGACTTTATTGTGTGGCACTGAAATATCTAAATGTATTTTGCCGATGTTTACAGTTGTATTTTCAGATACTGGAATAAGCATCCTGTTGTATTTATTGTTGTAAATAATATAGTTATTTATATTCTTTATTACAACGCTAAATTTAAATTAGAAATGAAATTTTAAATCTTTATATTTCACTCAAATAACTTACAATAAATTTATTTATTCACTTAAATAATGGTAGAAAGTAAGTTAAATACTTGATTGTTACTTCAGCAATGAAATTGCCACTGGAATTAAACTGTTTTACGTGTTGCCAAATTGTAGCTGACACTTGTATACCCTGAACTGTTGGCAGTTCGCCGACTCAAATTGTTTTGGTCTGCTTACCTGATAATCTGACTGGCAGGAAAACAGCGCGTAAGATCTGCCTGTCGGTGGTTATGAGGTAAGACCCTAAACTCATGAAGGATCACCCTGCACTGGGTCAAAAGTATAGCTCGTTCAGCAGCCACCTGTGGCTGGCTCCGCCCCCAACCTCTCGTTCGGACCAATAACAAGCTTTGACCTGACGTCGGGGAGCAACAGATGCACCCAAAGTGAATCTTAATTCGACAACTGTAGGCAGTTGGACCAGCAAAAGTCTAAGTCCCACGTATCTTCTGGCTATTAACTATTACTGACCTCACCATATATTCTCGCCAAAACTATAATCCGAAAGATACTGCATGGCGCAGAATCGTTATTAAAAACTAATAGTTGCCAAGCTAGTCAAATTTCTAGGCTTTCATGTAACTTCAAGTCCCATTATTGTGTTACAAGTTCCCGCCATTGAGCCCTGTCGAGTTAGATTTGGCCCACTTTATCACATACGATTTCTTTTAGTTCCGTTTTAATATTATCCTACAACCTACGCTTTCCGAGTGATTCCTTCCCATAGTTATCCCGAGTAAATATTTGTACACATCATCTTCCCCATGCGTGCTACATATCTTGTTCATCTCATTCTCCTTGTTTTGTTCACCTTGATAATAACTTAATAAAGACTACACCCCACAATTTATGTTCCTCATGATGCCCTCTCCCCTCAGCGTCCCGTTAGAGCCAAATATTTCCTCTGTCTTCGGTCCAAATAATCTCCTCAATCGTTTCCAAATATTATCTGAAGATGGCCGTCTTTTGGACTGGCACTGTGTAGTCTGGTAGACGTTTACCGACGTTACAGATGTACTTGCTGCCTCCATCATGAAGGCGATAACCGACTGCAGTTAGTACCCTTGCGTAATTCCTCCTGCAATGCAATGTAGATCATGCATTGGTATTCCGAACACACACAGGTGGTTGTACGGTCGAATCCCCTCAGGTTACGAATTTTATTATTAGTATTGGCAATTATGAATGACCCGGTGTTATAGAATGCTATAATAATTGTTATTGCATGACTAAATCGCCCTGATGATGGAGGCAACATAAACCTCTGAACGTCAGAAAAGGTCTGTCAGATTCAGGCGCATCAGTGTCTGGCTGTGTGTGTACAATTTAGATCATTTACAGGTTCGTTGTTTAAACTTTGTTACATTTAAGAAGGATGCTTTGTTAACTATATTTGTATTATTATGCTCTCCGGCATTCTGATGATTGCATCTAAACACATTAAACCTACGTTTTTTTCTGTGAGTTTATTTTTAAGTCCATGGGTAGGAGCTATACCGCCTCTCCCCTCAAACGCCTACATGGCGTATAGCGGCACAGTTTTAGTGTTACTTTATTTCAAGACCAACTCCTTTTATTTGCGTCTGCACTCTTCTTTGATATTAATGGAAATACTAAGTTCCGAAATTAAAAAGTTGAATTCTCTTTTATGATTTGAGGTTTTCACAGCGGTGAGTATGAAGATTTCTGTCTTCTGGGTTGTTGCGCGGTGTAGTCTGGTAGAGGAATCGCCCTGATGACGGAGGCAGTATGACCTCTGAAACGTTGGTTAACATCGACCAGACTACACGGCGCAACAACCCAGAAGACAGAAATCTTCATACTCATCGCCCTGATGACGGAGGCAGTATGACCTCTGAAACGTTGGTTAACATCGACCAGACTACACGGCGCAACAACCCAGAAGACAGAAATCTTCATACTCATCGCCCTGATGACGGAGGCAGTATGACCTCTGAAACGTTGGTTAACATCGACCAGACTACACGGCGCAACAACCCAGAAGACAGAAATCTTGAATTCTCTTGATTAACAAATTCTGGAATACCGACCAAAGGAAAGCCGCTCTGTAGGGCGCCCCTGGAAACGACGGAGGGAAAACGAGAGACCGGAACAGGCTATGTCCTGAGCCATGAAGGAAGGAGGAGGAGGAGGAGGAGGAGGAGAAGAAGAAGAAGAAGAAGAAGAACTCTGTTGATGTGTCTGTCTCGATAGAAAAGATTCCAACAGTAACACTCACTCCGTGTCAGTGCTGTGATGTCTACGTTCCTTTTGTTTTAGTTGTTGATATGAAAATTACGCTTTCTAAACTATATAGACCAGGGATTCTCAGCCTTTTTCGCTGGCGTACTACTAAATCTAATTTAACACATTAAATGTACCACTAACCAAATGTGTTCACGGAAAACTTATTAATATTTATGTTAATATTATCTTTTCAGTTTCTTACTTAGATCGCGTAACACTCAATATTGGCTCGCGTACCACCAGTGGTACGCGTACCATAGGTTGGTAAACGCTGATATAGACGAATATTTAAGAAAAAGGTCGTGTGTGGTCTTCTTGAAATTACTATTACAGTCTTTATTCGCAGGAACTTGTGCATATTTCAGTCAAAATATACGACATGTTGGCCGAATACGGAGCATGAATGCTGACCTCTCAGCCAAGGGGTTAGGGAGAAGAATTGCACTGAATCTTAACTCCAGTGCAGATTTGTCTTCAACAATCATATGCTATGTTGTATAGTATAGGGTCACGAGTCTTTTATTGCTTGGCAACAATTTAATGCATATAGCGATCACTCTGTGGCACCAGGACCGAAAATGATGGAAAATTTTGCTGTCACATTATTTCGATTTTATGCGTGTCTCTCCGCATGTTTAAACTCGAGAACCGCTTGATGGACTTTCGAGAAACTTTGTACAAACGTTATTGCCATTGAATGCTATCTCAGTTTGCACTTTTTAATTTACCAAAGTTTGTTTTGACGAGATGACGGACGCGCGAATTTCTGAGGTGGGAGCGATATTGTCGCAACTTGACAGAAATGATGCGTGGCAACAAGTTATTGAAGAATATGAAAATTTTATAAACGCAGTTTTTTGTAAAATGTGAAATAATAGCATGAGGGCAAAACGGATTCTTCTTTCAGTGATTACTAATGGACAAAATGAACAAAACTGATGAACATGTGATATTTTGTCTGTGTATATTGACAATAAGCATATATTCAAAAATTCTCACCATTTATAATTGTATTGTGTCTTATTCGACACAAAGTAGAAAGGGCTTTTAAGTAACATAGGAAATAATTAGGCGGCTAAATGCTGGTTTCTCATCTCCCGTTCGGACCACGGCGGATAACTTCACATGAGATTCGTGGTGAAACTAAGGACACTGGAGCAGGTTTTATCTGACTTCTTCGGTTTTTCATCTTAATCGTCATTCCACCATTCCTCCATATTCATCTCTCATGACGTGTGCTGTAATCCTTACCAAGCAGCACATTATGCCATTGTCCAAAATTAAGGTCTAAATTTTTATGGCAGCATTTGCCTGCTTCAAAAGTCTGAAGAAACATTTAAACAAATGAAATGTATGTGTAAATGCATGGTGATGCGCGTCGAATTAATAGACCAATGTTGGTCACTCATGCATCACACGTCACTTGGCAGACGTCATTGTACAATGGTTTTGCTGGAACCAGAGCTATAAATAGTTGGAGCTGTTATTTGTTGATTGGGAACCAATGAATGTAGAGTGATTAATGTTAGCTCGATTGCAGAATAAATATGGTAATCGATTGTGAAGAAGATCAGCTTGGAAAACATTTAATGAAATTGAAGCACCCCTTGAAGTCAGGAGGTGCAAACCTTTGAAAGAAAATGTGTCGCCACATGTCGAACAGAAAGCAGGCCTTTATTATTTCCAGCCTGCCTTCCTCAATATGTAGCAACAGTGGAAAAGCTCTATTGGAAACAGTTTTTACATATTTTCTGCGTTTGTATTCCTCTTCTTGTTCTTACCCACATTATCCCTTCATTCGTCCTACCCACTTTGTGTCCAACTTAATTGGTAGAAATTAGTGACGTAATCAACATACAAGTCTGCATGTTTGTACAGATCTCATTACAGACTATTTGTGCCGATCAGAGTGGCTGCTCTGTGTGCACGGTCTTAGACCACTGAAAAATTTGTATCTTGGGTTCGAATCCCACTTGAAGCAAGGCCATCTGTCCGCAGTTCATTTGCGTCATCAGGGCGATGAATCGCCCTGATGACGGAGGCAGTATGACCTCCGAAATGTTGGTTAACATCGACCAGACTATACAGCGCAACAACCCAGAAGATAGAAATCTTCATACTCATCGCCCTGATGACGAAGGCAGTATGACCTCCGAAACGTTGGTTAACATCGACCAGACTACACAGCGCAACAACCCAGAAGACAGAAATCTTCATACTCACCGCTGTGAAAACCTAAAATGTTACAGGCGAATGTCACTCATAAGGTTGCATTACGGAAGACCAACGACAAAGACGTCAGCCGTAACCACGTAACTTAATGTTGACGTTTTCGTCCAGGTGCCAGCATACCTCGTCTCTGATCGCGAGCGCACACACAGCTACCGACACGTAATATGCTGACCTTTGTATGACACAGATTCGCAGCAGTATTTTTAAGGACGCAGATAGGTTTCTAGAAAAATGAGTGAAGGCCTTGCCATATCACTGGCCGTCACCTCGGAGGCCCGGGTTTGCGCACAAAGCAGTCCATTTTGATTTCTGGTGGACAGCGTGTCACTGAGACAGGTTTTCTTAAGATACCTTAAGGTTTCCGCTACCAGTATCATTTCATTGCTGTTTCATATTTATTCATGTATCGTCTGGGGAATGGCCAATAGGCCCGTTGGCGGTCCAGCTCCACACAGTCAATCTCATCCGTGGCGTATTATGAATTTATTATTAACATCATCATCATCATCATAATCATTGTCAAATACCTCAGTATTGTGGTGTGATTGTTGGGGAGATTTAATAATTTTACGTTTCCCCACAAAGTGACTTCTAGACTATGATTCGCCACTGGTGGCAGCGTTATCCCGACAGTAAGTTGGCTGTACTGTCCTGTAGTGTGGAACTGGCTGAGGGCTATTCAAAACCAGCCACTCTTAACACGTTTTATACGACATGACCAGCTGAAATGCAGTAGTAAAGTCAGTTTGGTTACGTAATGCTAAGTAGTTTTTGGAC